TCGACAAAATAACTATAACTCCTCCACTGTTACATAATATATAATATATGTACTCTATCTCTCACAATAAATCAACAATTCAATACAAATATATGATTTTATATTATCAATACAATTCATTGTAAAGCTGTTTGGGAACGACTGAGATCCATGCTGAATAACAAAATTTAAGCAATGTTATATTATTCACTATAATTATATTTAATATCTAATGATAGAGATTTAAGTGAAAGGTAAATGTGTAATTTATAATAAATCATATATATAAAATTTATATATGAGAACTTTAATCATACACTTATACGCATAAGCACGGAACTCTGAAGAAGAACGCTAAAGAAGAAGCTTGATTCGATGCCGGTAGCATTTTGCCTTGTTGTAGGAAAAGTTGCACTTGAAGATTTTAGTGTATTGTTTCATATTAATTTTCGTATAGTTTCTTTCCTAATTTTTAACGTTGCAACTTATGTTTCAATTTTAATTTGGAATACTTGTTCTTACTCTATTGTAATGCTTATGTCCGTTTCAATGGAGTTTTGCTCTGTCGACTTATTTTTCATACATTTGTAATCCTTCTAGTCTTCGAATTTTAATTAATTCTACAGCTTAATCTATGTTCAATCGATCAATAATCTCATGTCTGATATGTATTATTCAGTATGCAATTCATGTTGTGTTTGATCTATCTAAGTTCTAACAATCATCTTCACTCCGAAATATTGATTGATTTATGCAACTCAAGACTATGCCTGATCTAAAATGTTCAATTGATGAGATAAGTGAAACTTGAATGTTGATTTAACAAATAGCTCATCTGTCAAAATTTTATATATTTGCGCACTATTAAAAATAAAATAAAATTCATTTCAATTTGGTGACTTGTGTTGACAGGTAAAGGCACAGTTGATTCATAAGGTTGATGGTGCAGTTGGGAGGTCAAGGATGTAGTCTGAGAGATGGGAAGACAGACGTCTGTTTCTAGAAGGCCTGGTATTGCGAGCGACTTGTGATGCACAACTATGCAAAGGATCTTCGGTAGTAGAACTATGTGTCGCATTCTGTTGTTCCAGTAATGGATCAACCTTCGCCACTTGGTCTGGATCGAAGGGAGGAGGATAATTTGACACTGAGGTAATGGAAGGAATTAATAGAGATATTTCTGGACTAGGAACCATAGAGCTTTCTGGATGGATGGGAATAAGTGAATCTAAGGTGTCATTATTTGGAGGACATGGCTGAGAGAGCAACGGTGTGTAACTGACAGGTCTGATTGGCTTGTGGAAAGGAAATATATCCTCATGAAAAATGACACCTCTAGACACAAAAAAACACCCGAACTCAATGTCATATAATTTGTACCCTTTAATTCCCATTGGGTATCCCACGAAAACACAAGCACAAGCACGGCTGTTGAATTTATTTTGATGGCCTGGAATGGTGGAAGCATATGCTAGACAACCAAATGTTCGAAGGAAGGTATATATTGGTGGAGCACGATGAAGAAGGGAATGGGGTGCATAGTTGACAACTCGACTAGGTAAACGATTGATAAGATGTGTGGCGGTAAGGACAACCTTTCCCCAAAAGTTAAGGGGAACTGAACTATGGAAAAACAAGACACGTGCTACAACAAGAAGATGGCCATGTTTGTGTCATCAACAACATTTTGTTGAGGAGTCGCAACACATGATCGATGATGAATGATGCCAGTTTTATCATAGAAGGGTGCAAGATTAAATTCGGTACCATTATCCGAACGTAAAACTTTAAATGAGACTGGAATTGTGTAATGATGAAGCAGTGAAATTTTGGAATAAGAAATGATACTTCAACTTTTGATTGCATTAAATGAGTCCAAGTAAAGTGGGAAAAATCATTAACAATGATAAGAAAATATTTATGTCCTCCTAAACTTTCTTCCTTATGGGGTCCTCATATATCAACATGGATTAGTTGAAATGGGGCAGTGGTGACATGCACTGGAAACTTAAGACGCTTTTGTTTGGCTTTGTGACAAGCATCACATACTGATGGTAGGAGCTGAAGATGCCTTTATTTTTTAGATGAAGAAGAACTTGACTTGAGGCGTGACCAAGGCGATTATGCCAAAGAAAAGAAAAACGAGTATGGTGAATGGCAGATCAGATAGGGAAGGTGGGCTAGTGACATTGAGGATGAAGATATAATCCTTTGCATAGCTTAGAAACTCCAATCGTCGTCCACGATGGTGGGCCTGCAACCAATATTCATGAGCCAAAAACAGGAAACGAATGGTTCTTGAAAAAATAAGTTTACTGAAGGACAAAATATTACAAGTGAAATTTGGAACAAATAAAACATGATCAGGTGTGATATTATTACTGAGAATGACTGTCCCTATGTGAGTGACTGGGATAGATGCACCATTAGGCAAATTGACTAAACCCAGAAATGTGGTATGTAGCTCTTAAAGAAATTAAAGAAATTAAAGAAATTATCAGGCTGGGAAGTAATATGAGTTTGTAGAAAAAATGTGCCGAAAAATGTTTTTGAGGATGTTTGAGCCCCTTTTTTAACAACTGCATGTGGCTGTCTCAAAATGGAGTTGGGCGAGTGCCCAACATATCTTTGATCGAGTACCTGCAGGAGAGTGGTTAGTTGTTCTGAAGACATACCATACTGTTTTGGCGTCGAGTCTGCTGCTACATTGTTCACAACATGATGAGTGAATGGACAAGATAACGCAGATTTTGTGAACTTGAAGTTCTTCAAAAAGCCGATTAACCGATAAAATTTTTCTTTCGTATGTCCTTTCTTTCCACAATGGAAGCAAGTTAAGTCTTGGCGAACCATTCGACGAGTAGATGCAGCTATCACTGTGGAGTCAGACCTTGAAGGCTATGGAATCTGTTTGTGCTAAGCTTCATCTCGAATAATAACATTATATGACTAATCAATAGTAGGTGATGGCCTTTGGTTAAGCAGTTGTGATCGAATAGGTCCATATTGTTCATGACGACCATTCAGAAATTTGAACAGTAGGTTTTTCTCTTGTTGGAGACGGTATGTCTGAAAGCATTCTTGATTACATAGGCCACAATTGCAGTGTGGAGGAGAACGATAATGGCGTAGCTGTTCCCAGATCATCATCATATTTGTGTAGTAGACATCGACTGTTCTTGTACCTTGAGTAATGAGAGAGAGTTCTCATTGTAGCCGACATATTCGATTATCGTCTGGAACTGAGAAGCGAGTTTGAAACACTAACCATACCTCGCTTGCAGATTTGATATAAAAAATAATAGACGTCAAACTTGGTGAGATAAATTTGAGCAACCATGCCATAATAAGATCATTGCAGCGAATCCAAGCACCCCGACTTGGATGAGTAGGTTCTGGTTCTGAAATGGAACCATCAAAGAATTCCTGCTTCTTTTGGATGGAAACAACAAGTAGAAATGATCGATACCATGTTGATAAACACACCCAAAACAGAAAATAAAAGAATGGAACAAGCGCAAAAGAGTAGTGCAAAAGGTGGGAGTTCAGAGAATTCTGGATATAATGTTCGACAATCTCAGTGTCTACAAATGATAATACAAAACTTATATATAGAACAGGAAACTACTGAAAGATGCAGGTGAATACGACAGTTACAATAAATTAGTAGTGGAACACATAGTTTGTCATACTGTTCTTAGATGCTTTCCTCCAGTGATGAGTTTGGTCACGTGTTTAACAAATAATACTATTAGTCATATATAGTTTTTAATAAAAATATATATTATTTTTTTTTCTCACATAATATAGTATTTAAATAAAAATTTAAATTAATATATAATTTTAAATCAATTTCAAAATTACCATCTTAAATATTGTATAAATTTCATATATTTGAATAAATAATGATTATTGAATATAAAATGTGAGTTTCCTTTAATTCTAATACTCTCTTCGTCCCAAAAAAAAGTATCCATTTACTTTTTGCACGTACTTTTAAATATATTAGTATTATATTGGGATATAGTAGGAATAAAGTAGAAATGACTAAAATAACCTTGTTAGTATGTGCAATATAAAGGTAATGATATTTGTGTAATATATTGTAAGTTGTAAGGGTATTTGTAACGTTAGATAGACAATGCAGTTACTAAAAAAAATGAATACTTTATTATGGGACGGACTAAAATAGAAAAATGGATACTTTGTTATGGGACGGAGAGAGTAATATTTATACAAATTTTAATATATATATAATTTTCAATATAATATTTTTTAATAAAATATTTTTAAAATAATAAAAATAAATATTATAATAATTCTTTTGTAATTACTTTTAACTAACAATAAAAATGTAAAAAAATTCCTAAATATGACAAGAATGAACAAAAAACTATTCATATATATTATATGAAATGATTTGTAAGTGATATTTAACATTGTAGTTTCATGAGGTCGGGATTTACCCATCAAAGAGCACTGTATTTTCGTCATAAAATAATATTATAATGAATTATTATTAATTTACTAATTCTATTATTTTAAATACCTAGTTAGTAACCAAACTCGATTGAAATGAAAAAAGGGTAACACCCATGTGTTTGGCTGAAGGTTTTGGAAGAATTTATATTATTTATAATTTTTTTTTAAAAAAAATTAAATTAAATATTTATTTATTATTTTTTATATTAAAAAAAAATTAATTTTACATTTAAAATATCATATCAATATGATATATTACACTATATCACTATTTTAATTCAATTTTATTTATGTTTAAAAATCCCAATTCAAAATTCGAATTCTTGAATAAACACATAATATTATTTTCAATGTAGTTTATTTTTGTTGATAAAGTGATAAAAAGATAAAAAAAATTATAAAAAATAAAATTTTAATAAAAAATTTTGAAATAATTTTGAGATACATCGGTATTTACAGAATTAGAAAGTTAAAATTACGAACATACCTAATACACGTTTTATTTATTACAGAAATTTGTTTCGTTTTTATTTCTGTGGGCGCTCTCCTCTTCTCCGCTGATATACATACAACAGACTTACTTCGTCCCTTTCTTCTTTACATTCCTCCATTTCCGTACCTCTCGAGGGTTTTGCTCGTCCATGCCTTCCTCAATCATTCTCTTCGGAGTTCTCAATTGCTAGCTTATCGATCGAGATTTTGGTGGTTTCGCCTCCAAGGAGGATCATTGGTAGTCTCTGTTGGAGAGGGTTTTGAGTGGGGATCTTCCTTTGAATTTTAGCTTCACAGACGCGGAAATTGACAAGGAAGTGGGATTGAGGACTCAGGTGCGCCAATTTTTGGATTCGAATTGTATTATCGACTTCGCAGTCATTGTTATTATTATTATATTTTCTTGTAGAATCCGGATGGATGTGAATCTTTAGTCCTTTGGGTTTGGGTTTTTGTTAGGGGAGGAGAGAACGTTGGGCAGGGCAGGGCAGAGATGGAGAATGGAGAAAGAAATTTGGAGTCGAGATTTGCCGGAATGACTGTGGGTGATCCGTATAGCATCAATGGCAATGATGGATTGTTTCAGGTCATGAAAGCAGTTGAAGCTGCTGAAGCTACTATCAAGCAGCAGGTATAATATATATATATATATTATATATATATAAGCATGCACATAAGCACACCTATGTATCCAATGGTATTGGGCTAGGGTTTTTGATGGAACTATGGCATACCTTATGTTCATATTTATGTATTAGAGGTATGCATGTATAGATTAAAATGTTATCTGTATGCATTTAGATCAGCTATTTTATGAAACTTTTCTTACGTGTAATCTAATCGAGCCGATTGTCTCTCTCTTAACAAGTTTAGGTTTAGTTGTTTAGTATGTAATCTCTTAATGTGAAATTATGATGTATGATGGAATTAGTAAGAAGAAACTAACGAATGAGGGGATTGGGTGATTGGGATTCCGTGCTACTTTGATCCATTAATTTGTTGTGCCAATTACCCTTTTTGCTGCGCTGATGATCTCTTTTTTTCTTGTGTTATGGTAATCTGCAACGAGCAACTTGTGATTGGTTGCGGCTTTTTTTAAATCATAACTATTAATCTTTCCTTAAATGCTTGTGTATATATATAAAAAAAAGAACATAGTGTAGACCATAGCAATAATATCTGGCAATGGAAGTGCAGTGTGGTGTCATTTTTAAATCTTAGCATTTATAATTCTGGCTTTAAAGGAGAGTGCATCTGGAGACTGTGTAATCTCATACATCTGTCAAGACTTGACTTGATTTATTTAACTTGCCATTAGCACCTTCAACTTTAATCGTATCTTTCCCTTGCCTCCTAATGTACTTACCTATTTATTGATTCATCCAAATCACCTTTTGGGAATACTGTTAACTTACTTTCTAGTTGTTTGCAAATTACTGTTAGACTTAACCCCCAGTTATAATTGAATAAGAGTTTACTTGAAAAATGCTCATTGCGGAACTTATTGCTGCTATTTGTTAGATTATGTTAATCTACCTGCTGCGCTCAGTTATTTGTGCTACCGAGGTTAATTATGATTATATGACATATGGGTCCTGATTTTGCACTTCACAGGTGGACGAGAACAATCGTTTGAAAGCTGAACTTCAACAAAGAATCGAGGAACTTGAGCGATATGTAATACATATTTACTGGATGCTTAAACCATGAATATATTCTAGGGTGTGTTTGTTTGAGGGTTTGGATTTTGAGTTGGGATTTGAATAGTAAAATTTTGAATTTGAATAGTTGTATGATGTGATATAAATAGGTGTTGATATGATGTTTTGAATGTAAAATTGATTTTTAGTATAATATAAAAAAATGAAAAATAGGTGTTTGATTTGATGTTTTTGGGGGGGAAAAATAGGATGAATAGTGGAAATCCAAACAAATCCCTCAAACAAACACACCCTAGATGAAATTTTTTTATTTGTTTGTGTCAACCTTCCTTTTTTTGAAGGATTCTCTCCGCTGAAAATGGTATCTTTTTAATTTCTCAATATCCCCGGTGTTCCCTAGTCAAGGTTTATGAAATACCTGTCCTAAGAATGATGAAGGTTTTGGTACAACAAATCTAATTCAAGAACATATTCAAAAAATAATATGACTCATCATATATTGTTGTGATTTCCCTGCAGAAAGCAGGTGATGCAAAATATTCGAACCCTCAATTGGGTGATCGATGGGGTGATCATGTTCTTGAATCAAGTAGAGCTGATCAAATAGTTCTACATTCAGCGAATCAAGCCAGGGGGGTTGGAAAAGCTGATATCAATTCTGAACATATGCTTCAAACAAATACAATGCGAAGTAATGAAGATCATGTGAAGCAAACTCAAGTAGAAAACCAATTTGAAAGCGGCAAGCTCAGTGGGTCATCAAATATTACTCATAGTGGTCAGGTTGCAGCAGATAATTCTGTCGTCTCTCAGTTTGTATCACCATCCATTGCTGTATTTTCTCCTGGCAGGTACATTATATTTGTGTGACTGTTGAACATAAAGTGGCTTCAATACAGGAAGATATTTTAGTTATCATTTTTTCTGCTTGATTAGGTACCCGCAAGATGCTGATCTGGAATCAGAGTTTAAATATTCTGGAAGGGGTTCAACTTCATTGGCTGAAGTTAACAATGTTGGTAGTTCAAAACAGGTATATAGCTACAAAAGCACGCATCTTAACGGATGCACACACACGTTATTTCTGCAATCCAAAAATTGCAAAAGACATAATTAACATATATGCTGATTTGTAGGACATTGTTGTGAAGGTTCGGGAACATGAAGAGGAAATCCTACAACTCAAAAGACATCTTTCAGAATTGGCAATAAAGGTATTCAGCAGCCTAATATATTTAATATATTGTGGTACATCATCTTTTGTATCTAATGTTTTGTTTCTGGTAGGAAGCACAAATTCGCAATGAAAAAAATGCCCTTGAGAAGCGAATATCGTACATGCGTATGGTAGGCAGTTTATCTTCTTGTCTGATCTGATTGTTGTTGTTTCATCTGAATGTTGATGGAGGTTCTATGCATTTACTCTTTCCATAGGCTTTTGATCAGCAACAACAAGATCTAGTTCTTGCTGCATCTAAAGCAATTTCCTACAGGCAAGACATAATGGAGGAAAATGTTCGTCTTACATATGCATTACAGGTATGTATGTCTCTATGCTTCAAATAAATTGTGTATTTGGGTAGAGTTTCGTACCATTGTACAATATGTTTAGGTTTCGAGTCTGAGCAACTACTATCAATTGGTCATTGCAATGTTGACTGCCATTCTGGATTGAAGAAATTCTTTCATCTAGACATTTATATTTGTTGCCCTTGATATTTTAATCCTGGTGACTTTTAAAGCAACTGATCCATGTTTCATCTTTTTAGCAGTGATGCTCTGTGACCTTTTGATACTCTCTGAACTTCTCAATTTAACTCATACTTGTTAGTTCCATGATATAAATGTTGCTATTGTTTTCGATGGATCCAATATGAAAGTTTGACGAAGTATACGTATATGACCCTGGACCAAAGTCCTCTGATGGATAGTCTTTAGATAACATTCATCCCAAGCTGATGAGCTAATATTCTCCATTCTAGTTTACGGGTGATTTGCTGTACCAGCAAGCAGAAATCCTTTTTGGAAGTCAGCTTCCAATTGATTAGCTAAACGTCTGAACCCCCTATAGTTCTGCTTTGTAAAGTGTACAAATTCTATGAGTTATGTGGGATCAGATTTAACAGAACTGTAAGCTGTGTTTTGTGCTGCCTTGTTGCACATAATAACCACATTGCTTGTACACTCATTTGTTTCATTCTTCTATGATACTGGTTAACGACAACAGTTCATGAATTCAGTAATGACTGCCCTGATTTGTTTTGTTTCCTTTGTCTTTTCATGATTTCTTTCCACGCAATTTAATAATTTTTTCAAATTTGCACTGAAGCTCAGATTTCTTTTTTCAGGCTGCGCAACAAGAAAGATCTACATTTGTAACTTCTCTAATGCCTCTTCTTGCGGAGTATTCTCTTCAACCAGCTGATGCCAATGCCCAGTCAATTGTCAGTAATGTCAAGGTACTATGTGATGACTTTCTCATGTTTATGATTAAAGACCTGTCTACATAGATGATGGTAGGTTGCTGAAATGATCTGTACTCTTGCTACTCCCTGTGTCGAATTGCTGTTTGTTTGTTTAGGTTGGATTAGAAGTGGCTTATATTCAGATGTTGTGACCAAGGGTGATATTTATAAGTGAGAAAGCCAGAAACTATTGTTTGGTTTTTTTAGTTGTGTTTTTGTAGTTTGAATTGTTTTGGAAATAGTAAAATTTGAAGTGACAGTTGTTTGATGTGATGTTTTGCATATATAATAGTCTTTATATAGTATTTTGAATGAAAAATAGGTGTTAAAAGTCATTCTGTATTGTGGGGAAGGGAAGATTATTGTCAAAGGAATAATAACGATGGGGAATGTAAACATAACCAAACCAACCCTAAGTTGTCCTCTTGGTACATGACTGGGGTTTGTAGAAAGACGCTAAGCATGAACCACAATATATGAGAGGAAACGGACAACTTAAGGATGGGTATTGAACATACAAGTATCCAAATTGCATAGGAAATTTGCAGGAAGTTAAAAATTCTTCTTACTTGGGAATCACAAACATTTTGCACCCATAAAGCATGCCGACCTCCTAAATAGCTTGATTGCATTCCCCTAGAAACTATTTTAAGCAAAGGTTTTACTAACAGTTTGATTTGACAGCTACCCATTAAAAAAGTTTCTGTATGATTGCATCAAAATATATAAACTTCCCAAGTTCCCTCTTATCTTTTTTTTGGCCCCCAAATCTTAATGTCAATAATCTAAGGATGCCTATGAAATGATTTGGTTGATTAGAGCTGTGGCTTCAGTTGAATAAAATTGGAAGTTTTTCTTTTGCAGGTTTTATTTAGACATTTGCAGGAACAGCTTCTTGTTATTGAGGTATGTTTCAGGGTCCCAAAATTTTTTTTACAGATGTAAGTGTAAAATGATGTACGTCCAACCAATCTATTAATAATTCTCGAGTCTACTTGATTAATTTTATGTCATTTCATTATAGGGAAAGCTCAAAGAGTCTCAGTACCAACTAGCACCATGGAGATCTGAGTCTAATCCATCTAATTTTTCACAGTCACCTGTGTATCCTGTGGAGGTAGTGTTGACATGTTGTTCTGGCTTAACTAGCGAGAGAAATTGATACTTTTGCATTTTATGTATATGTTGATTGGACCTATTGTTTCCACAAGTTTCATACATGTGTTTTATATGATTGCCAATTCTTGAAGTATCAAGTTTTTTATTTTAGGAAATTACTTCTATGGCTTTTCAATATCTATGGGCATAGGTATCAAATCTGAATAATCCATGCAAGGAATTATGGCAAATAACATTGCCAGCATATCTTTGATTGCTGGGTCTGCAGATCACTGTTTCAAGCTATGTGTCAATTTGCTTGAATGTGAACTGCTTAGGCCAACTGCTGGGGCTAGGAAGTTGAGTTTTGGTTGGTGTGGGGAGTTTTCATGGGAAGAGGGTGGTTGGGCCTGGGGGATTAAGTTTTGATACTAAAGAGTTCGCTGCTAAAAAAAAAAATAAAGTGGAGGTTATTTTTAATGTTTCAGTATGCTTCAAAGGTTCCGGAAATATGCAGTCGCTACACACTATATCTTAGAAAAGGTTTCTAAGTATTCTTTTGTTCCCTAATAGTACTAATTTCGATTTCAGTGTGCTTCAAAGGATCCTTAAATATGCATTCACTACACCCTATATCTTAGAAAAGGTTTCTAAGTAGTCTTTTGTTCCGAATAATACCAATACTCGATAAATGGCAATCATATGTGGCCTGTCTAGAAATTGTGCTTGTTGGCTTTTGGTTTGTGAAAATTTTCAGTTGGTCTGTGTTCTGATAATGTTGGACCTGAATTTCTCCTAATTTGAGTTTTAATATTCTTCAAGTGGTATTCAATTTAATTCTTTACTTAACAGGCTTAAGTTAATACTTCATATTCATATATCCTATTGATTTATGGTTTCAGCTTTATCAATTTTGGTTCTCCTTTTGAACTATTGTAAATTTTCTAGTAAAATGAAACGGTCATTACATTTGTAAATATCTGACTATTGTTTTCTTAGTTAATATATGGAGACTTACATTTGCCTTAACACAAGCTAAATGAAAGATTTGGATCTATGTGTTCCGAAATGAAAATCACTGAACAAAAGGTTGTGAACTTACACGAGCTTTAGGAAATCTGCCATACAATTGCAATATGTGGGTTTTGAATATTTGTCTTCTTGATAAGTGCCTGAATTCAAACATCTAATTACTATCTCAAACTGAATTGACCTGCCAGATGAAAAATGGGTTGGAATTGGTTCCGCAACCGACATATACTGATGGAAAGATGCCATCTTCTGATCCACAGACAGCAAATGCTGGAGATATTGTGGGACTTCCTCAAAGTGGAATGGATAATTTTAAGAATTCAGAGTACAATGAGTTGGGAAAGCGCCCACCTCCTGCAAGCAGGTGAGATGGTCAAATGGAGACTGCGACTCTGAACTGCATGTGCAAATTCCAATCCTCCGCTTTTTGTGGTGGGTTCTGTTTCATTAAGTTTTTGTGTCGATTTCATAATTTGGAGTGGTAAAAACTCCCCTATGAAATTAATGGAAGTATTTATTGGAAGCATAAACCTTTTTGAACAATTGAAACTGGCGCTCTTGCAAATATGTTTCAAGTATATATAGGTTTAGCCACCTAACAAATTGATCTTTTCCTACTATGGGAAAGCAAGCACATTTACTTTTTTGAAATGATTCTATTGCATGAAAATGTTATTTTCCACACTTCTAATTTAGGTTTGAGATACATAATAGGAGTGTAACACTCACTAATGCTAAAGCTTGCATGGGGGTTAAATCAAACCAAATGTGGAAGCCTTATTGGACTAATATATGCTTGTGTAGGTGTATAGGTTAAACCATTTTTGCCCTAAAGTTGTCACATGTTACGATTTGAGTTAATAACGTTGCATGAAAGCGTGCCGTTGCATTTATATTTTATCCATGTTATTACATGTTGCTAGCTCCAAGTCTCTTCTCTCCTCACAAGTTGTTTGTCATGTGATGTTACTCTTAATTACATAAATGCAAGGTTTCCTTGCAATTTTTGCTGAATTCATTTCTACAAACTTTGTGCTCTACTGCAGTGGAATTAATGAAAGAAATATGATAGCTGCTGTTTGAGCATAACACTTTTTCGAGCTTCCTTATGAAATTAGTGAAGAGTAAATGTGTATATTGGCTATAACTGCTGCATTAATAATATATTTAGTTAATTGTGATAGCTTTTGGTTTTATTTTGGCTTTTACCATACCATTTCTTGCTTCTCCATGTCTAATTTGATTATGCTGATATGTTTTTTTTATTTTAATCTCCTTTTAAGACATTCTAGATTTGTCTATTTAGAGATTTAAAAGACAAAAGTTAGCCTAATTTCTAATGGCCATCTACATTTCTTTATGTCCTCTCAGTTCTGAAATTGAAGTATAACCTATGGTTTTTAAAATGGGTTGTAAATGAGGAATGTTGGTGGTGATGTTGTGCATTTTTGCCGATGATATTCAAAGGCCAAATTTTTACAGTAAACAAAAAGTTGTTAGGTTACAAGCAAGTAGCTGAAAAGAATTCCTGGCAATTTAGCCCAATCTCCACATATCTATCAGTTACTGCTTCTGTGACATGTTTTGTGAGCAAAAATTGTTGCCTCGACTCAATTTTGACTTCTGATAGATAATACAGTTTGTTTTGGTTTGCTGTCAGTCTCATTCACTAATCAAGGATGACATTTTTGAAGATTTATCCCTTTAATAGTGAAATTTTGTGACGGGGTCTCATTTCTTTGTGATGCATATATGTACGTATATATCTACATAAGGTATTTGTTTTGAACTGAATCACATTTGCTTGATAGGAACATGGCGCCTCATGATGTGTCTTCACAGCTTGCGTTCAACCAGAGTGATCCATATGCTGCTGGAGCTAGTGAAGGCACTGTCAGCAAAAAAGTCACATTTGGTGATCTTGTTAAGAGTAATGATATTAGTGAACCTGAAAATAGAGGACACCAGAGTGATAGAGATCCTTCAGCTAATTGGAATTCTAAAGCTTCAGCTACAACCATGGATGATCCTGTTACCTCATATAGCCCTTTTTTACCCCCAGTTCTCGAGGAGCCCTCATCTTCTGTCTCCGAGGGTACTTCTGATTTCAGCTACCTTCTTTTAATATTGTTATGTTACCACAAATTCTAAATTTGCATACAATGGTCAGCTGCTGAAGATGATCCGCTACCTGCAATAGAGGATCTTCAAATTTCAGGTGAAGCATATCCTGGGCAGCAACTCCAAGCAGCTGGATACTCTATAAATGGGACAACCAGTTGTAATTTCGAGGTGGTCAACTGTCGATTCTCTTTTTGTTTCACTTGTTGATGCATTCAATTGCAGTATGTTATTCTTATATGCAATGTTTTTTATTTTATCGAAGTTATTGTTAATTTTATACAATTTACATTCCTACTTTTGATTGGATATTTTATTAAGTTGCAGTGGGTTCGGCATTTGGGGGATGGATCTTTTAATTATGTTGATGGTACCCTTCTATTACTTATTTTGGTTCAAATGTAGAGTTAGTTTGTTTTTTGTGTTAATAATGACCATTTATTACAGGAGCAAAGCAGCCATATTATCTTGTTTCTGCTGATGATGTTGATACGTATCTTGCCATTGAAGTGCAGCCACTGGACAATAGGAAACGGAAGGTATTTTGGGGTGTGTATGGTTAGGGCTGGACCTGTATTGCATGTTTCAGACTTTCAGATAATCTCTGTTGTGTTGGATGATAGGCCAGTGGCATAATAGCATATTTGGTCCCACAAGATAGACTTTAGCCCCACTATAACACATTCTTTAATTTAGTCCCCACCATTTACAGAATTTTGATATGTGATCGAAATCTAGCTAATTTAGTCTCTCTCTGTCTCTCTTTTGCCGTAGACTTTGGTGGACTCCTCATAATGTTATATAATGCCACAAAAGTTTTCAACATTTTGATATTCATTAACTTTGCTTGCAGTGAATTTTGTAAATTTTGCTGCCAAAGAATCTTCTGCAAATAAATTTGTCATCATTTGATTTCCAAATTCATTTTTACAAATAAATCGAGACTAAAATTGAGTAGTTATGGAACATATTATTTTGCATGATTGGTGGTTTTAAATAATGAAATAAAAAGTTTAATATGGTTTCATTTCTGTATATAGATTTCTCAAATGAAGAGAAGAAACAATTTGTACTCCTGTTATGATTTCTTCCTGGTCAAGTTTTGAAACTGCCCTCCACAGACTTAAAAAACTCCATCCTAGGATTCCCATATGGAAAGTTGTTTGTGAAACATGGTTAACTTAGTGTATTTTGGACTTTGAAGGAAATGGTTAGTCTTATCTTTCGTCATATGCTTTTGTGTGCTTCTATTTTGAGATACTGGATTTTCTATTATCAAATTAGTTTATTTCATGGTGTGCAATACGAAGATAGTTATGGGGTTAGGGCATGACTCTCTAATAGTGGCAGTGAAAGACTTGGTAGTTTCTGCAATTTTATATTTTCTTTAAAGTAATATTTGTGCTGTAGGGGAAAGTAATAAACCATTTTATTTGTGTAAGAAAATGTTCTTTGGTTTACCAATAGACAGTGTGCTTAGTACTTACTGGCTGATTCTTTGTTTTTCAGGGTGATCTAGTCACTGTCTTCGCCAATGAGCGCAGGAAAATTTCTTGCGGTAATGGATACTATACATATTATAACAAATGCTTGGCTTTTATATATTTGGTTTAGATGAACACAATGCTTTATCTATGGGTTAGATGTCTTTCTTTTCCTTCCTACGCATTGCAAATTCACAACCTAGGTTAGAAGATCTTGGGCATTTATATTTCTCCACTTTTTCAACTGTGTTTGTGTTATGTTTCCTTTTGAGAATTATTCTCTTTCTCCAATATATATGTTATATATATATATATATATATATGGCAAAATAACAGTTTGGACCAACGAAAATAATGCGATTTCAAATTTAACTTTAATTGATACATTTTAAAACTTTTGGCTCCACCATACATAAGTTTCATTGAGGCATTATGACAACTTTAATTGAATTTCCTCAATCTAGTAGATAAAACATATATATTGTGACATTAGATAACGCTGTGTGAGTGACTACCATTTTTAGTTGTTCCAAATCTTGTGGAAATTATTATTATCACAATATAGCCTCAAGTTATAATTTCTATTAATAGTGGGACTAGAGTTAGAAAACATGTTCCAGCGGGACTTAAATTGAAAGAATTTTTTCTTGTGGGACTAAACATGCTATTTACTGCCGTAGAGATTTTTCATGTTCCTTCTATCTTATGCAGACTCTGAAATGCACAGTTGCATAGAAAAGACCCTTTATGCCGGCCATGCTTCATACAAGCTATCATTGCCGGTATGGATGCTAAAGCTTGATTTCATTCACGATTTTGCTTCAATAAGTCTTGGTCCATAACACTCTCATATCAAGCGATTCATTTCTCTCCTATTTTCCTCTCTTCTTTGATAATGAAGGCTGGATATCTCGATTTATGGGAGCCAGCTATATTGTCCATTAAACGGGATGGCTATAGCATTAAGGGCAGTGGGCCTAGTGGTGTTTCTATATCCAAGAAGTTTACTTCCTCTACTAACGTATGTGTTCTTTTTTCTACTCTTTATTTTTTATACTTATTTTTTGCTTTTCGTGTTTTAGAATTCTAATTGCTGTCTTTCTCAAAGAACTGCAGTAAGAAAGTAATCTACCACACAAAAAAGTGGTAGTTCTCAAGTTTTAGAGTATTCCCTTGTTGATATCTCCAAACATTTTCTGATATTAACAAATTGCATATACATATTTAGAATCAGCAATCCTTTAACTTTTGATTTTCCCATTTTATGCTATGACTATGTTTTGAAACTTAGTGTGAAATGCTCCCAAACTTGGATGAGTGAGTTCTTTCCTAGTCTTTAATCTTTTCAAGATTAGCTCTTGGAATGGTTTTCATGATATTACAGTGTGATGAAGGTGAAATTAAAGTCAACATTTTAAAGCTAAGCATATCTCATCAATATTAGTCGCAGAGAACAATTATACACCACCTATCTTATCCTCGTCTATAGCTTGCATGTAACGTATACTATCCATCTTCAGAAAATACCCCTTTTGGTGTAAATGGGGCACACCAGCATTGTATGATCGAAAGGGGGCCATTTAATGTATACAGATTTGGACGGGTAACTTTTGGTAATTTACAAAGTATGTGCATGCTAAACTTTTATGAATGTGTTTTATGTAAGAAAAGACTACTCAGCGATGTCAAATGCTCTCTCAGTATTTTTTTGCTCTAGTATATCATTTCATTATGTCCTATAATCTTCAAGTAATGGTTTCAATTTTCTTTGTTATGACTATTTCAGGTCTCTATTACATATGGGAATGCTACAGATTTCTCCATAGCCGATTCTATGGGTGAGGATGAACACATTTTGAGGGTGGACAGTAATTCAACGGATGTGAGTTGGTAAGTTCAGATCATTGGTAGAATATCCCTCCAAGATTATCTATATTCAATATATATTAGCCTCGACTACAATACAAATTACAAATTTGATCTCACCTGCTCTATGCTGTTAGTACTTTATATACTGTTCTTATTTCCTTTATGTGTACCTCTTTTGCAGCGCTAGAGATACAATCGTTCTCACCTTACGGTTATTCATTATCAAGGTACGCATGGATTTTGTCTCCATTTTTTCGGTAAACATGAATGAGTTACATGTGTGACGATAACATGATCTTAACATTTTGCAATAAGAAACACTTCAGGTGTGTTTGGATTTGGGTTTTGGGTTTGGAAGTAGGAAAATTTTGAATTGAAATGGTGTTGGATATAATAGTTTGGATGAAAATTTGATTTTTTCTGTATAAAATATCAAATAAAAAAATATGTGTTTTGAGTTCAAACTTTGATAATAGTGCGAGACTGTTCAAACTTAAAAGAAACATAGCCTCAAGTTTGAATTCATTCTAGAGCTTAAAGAATTCCATCCTTGTCAAATGATAACATATGATTTAAAGCTTTCATTTACTTTTGATTTTACGTAGCATTTGTCTCTTGGGACCTGTTTGGATCTCCATAGTAAATTTGACTTGAAAGAATTGCAGGCTAGTGAGAAGAAAAAGGGGAAGAAGAGAGGTCTGTTCTTTCACAAGTGAGACTGCCAAACAGGACCTTACCCTTGCGCCCTTCATATGGCACATTGTTTGTTGAGTTAGAGTGCTTTTTAAACTATACTCATTTTCAATCTATATATATACACACATATTTTTAATCCCTTTTATTTGTAATTTTGTGATTATTTATTTAGCTATAGTGTGTGTAATATTCTCAGGTTCTTTGTTTTGGTCTGGATCTTGGGTTGGACTGTTTAATGAATTTCCCATCATCTTTTTTTTTTTTTTAATTTTTTTTAATATTATTTTTAGGTGACTCGGGTTTGTTCACTTGGTGTTTTTTATAGATACAATTTTTTATAAATATTATTAAAAAATTCATAAAAATTAATAATTCACGAAATATTATCTATTTCATATTATTGGTGTAATTCTTTATACGTTGAATGAAAAATAAATTTATCAAAAACATAGTGAAATGTGATTTAGGTCATTTTCATCCCATTACTTTCAATCATAAAGTTTAATTTTTGTTTTTAATTTTATATATATATATATTTTTTATATTATTTTATATAATTTCTTCAATTTTAATTTGCTTTTTTATTATCACTCAAAAATATTTAATTTATAATTTATAAAATAATTATTTTGAAAATAAAAAATTACACGTTATTTAAAAAAAAAAATTATAAATTATTTTTTAAAAATTAAATTATATATCATTTTATAGAATAATAAAATTGCATATCATTTCTCAAAAAATAAAATTATATGTGATTAAAAAAAATAAAGTAATACATGATTTTATAAAAAATAAAAAGTTATATATTACTTTTTAAAATATAAATTGTTATTAAAATATATGAATGTATCGAAAAAAATTAGGGGGTGTATTGAATCCAGATTTGTATAATTTTGTTGGAAAATCGGTGTATTCAATTCAGATTTTTAAAAGTCTTTTAAAATTTCGAGGTATTCAACAATCCATAATCTATGGATTTTAATAAAAAATTATGAAAATTTTGTACAGTATAAAATTCTATTTTGATGGATTCTTAAAATTCTTATTATTATTATTATTATTATTGTTGTTGTTGTATAAGTGATAAATAATATGATAATATTTATTAATATTATTATAATTTTTAATAAAAATAATAATTAAAAATTAAAATATATTAGCGAGTTATTATCAATTTTTTTAAATATATAGTTTTATATTATAAATATAATTTTAAAAAATATTATTATCATAATAAATATGTATTACCGTCGTCTTTTCTTTTCAATTATCGAATAAATATATTATCATTACGGTGTTATTCTTCTTTTTCAATTATCGCATATAATATATTGTTATTCCGATGTCATTCTTCTTTTTCAATTATCGAATATAATATATTGTCATTCCGGTGTCATTCTCGTTTTTCAATTATCGAATATATTATATTGTCATTCCGATGACAGTGAAGTAAATATTTCAATATATATTTTTCGTTGAACCGTTAATTTATATTTATTTACTTTTTTATTTTAATATTTTTTCAAAAAATTGTAAATTATGTTTATTATTTTATTTATATAGGTATTTATTTTTTATGTAAAAAATTTATATAAATAATAGTAATAATAACTAATAAAGAAATATAAAACTAATTTGATATATTGAATGTATAATACTAAAATTATAAAATTTAAAATATTAATATACAATATATAGTAGTATTACATATGTTACAATACTTCTACATTATAAATAATTAATATTAAATTTTATTTTTATAAAAATATAATAATATATAATAAATTTAATTATAAATATATTACATTTATAAAACTTGTGTTTTAATAATATATAAGTAATTTTTTAATTATAAATATTATAAAATTTGTTTTTGATATAAATTTATATAATTATATATATCCATAAAAAGATTTTTCTACAATCCTACGAAATTCAAATAAATCTATAAATAATTCAATCAAATCCGTAAAAATCCATGTAATCAATTACTAAAATTCATCAAACTTACCATTGATTCCATTGATTTTCTAAATCTATAGAAATCCATAGACTTTTTAAAATCCAAAAAAATCCATTGAAATCCCAATTGAATACACCCCCTTATTATAAAATCGACAAAAGTTTTGACTAGATTTGTTTAGACTCAGCCCCAAATCAAACTCGGAACACAAATCGACACAAAAACACACCTAACTAGCGACTACACAAACAAATCGGTCCAAAACCCACGATAAACAAAGAAAACAACCTCACAAACAAAGAAACAAAATAAACAGATGCCTATACTATCGAGCGAGCCCCTTGCGGCTACGAACAACAACAGGGGAAGAAACGTGTCAAATGAACTCCACAGAGTTACAGGAGGAAAGGCACCGCCGTGAACCGTCATAGGAAGGTGAGACAAAGAGGGAGTTTTAGAGAGGCTAGAGAGGGCGAGAGTTTTAGAATGAGAGTGAAAGAGTAAAGTTTCTGACTGCATTCTCTATCTCTGTCAATATATACAAAGGGCAAAAAAGATTCAACGGCCATGATCAATGACCTAGATCGGATGGTCAGGATTGAGTCTCATTAAAAAGACGCGGATCCAGCGGCGGGTATGGGTCAAGGGACCGGGTCAGGGTAAGTCGGTAGCTTTGGGTCAAGCACGGGTCGTGGACCATGGCCAAGGCTAAGACTCATTTGGACTGCATAATTAGGTGTGTGTGTCTTATTTGTGGTGGATCCAATTGGACTAAAATATTCAACAAATCCTCCACTTGAGTTTTTGTCTGAGTAGGGTACATCATTGCCCATATATTAAATTAGCCTACCAACTACTTTGAGTAGTACAAAACTAATTAAAAGTATCACAGTGTATGTATTTCATACAAGATATAAATTTATTTGCAGACAAAATTTTCTAATTTTAATATTCCTTTTAAATACAATATCATGTATGAAATGAAAACGCACATCAATATGTTTGATTCTGTCATGGAATATGAGGTTTTTACATAATTGAATTTCCGACTGACTATCCGAAAAAATAGTTACAACATGCTGCAAATAACCTAATTCATGATTAAACCTTTTAACCAGAATGCTTCCTTTAAAGCTTCAGTTATTGCTACATATTTAGATTCTATTGTGGATAGTGCTACAATGTGTTGCAATTGAGATTTCCAACTTATATAAGTTCCACACAAAGTAGAAATATAAGATGTTGTATTTTTCCTACTATCTCTATCATTTGCATAATTTGAATTCACAAAACACTCCAATTTAACATTTTTAGTATGTTTACCAAAAACAAGACCAATATTTATTGTGCCAACTAAGTATCTAAAGACCCATTTTAATGCATTTCAATGTTCTAAACCAGGGTTCAACATATACCTACTTAAACAACTAATAGCATAGGCTAAATCTGGCATAGTGCTAACCATTAAGTACATTATGGAACCTATTGCATTAGAATATGACACATGTTTCATATATTCAAAATCAGATTCCAATTAATATGACCATAGGATTAGAAACAAATTTAGCATCACTCATAGAAATCTTTTTAACAATTTTCGAAATATATGTTGAATGGTTCAAAAACAGTCTTAAATTTTTCCTATTCCCAGTGATACTCATGCCTAATCACTTTGGCATCACCCAACAGTTTCATGTCAAAATTATCACACAAACATTTAGTCACTTGATCAATCAGCTTTAACATATGGACTAATAATCAACATATCATCAGCATAAATGAGAAGAAAGATAGGTTGGTTTTTAACAGTCTTAAAATACAAACAATAATCAAATTTGCTTTTAGTAAAATCAAGATTTTTCATACAATTATCAAATTTGATATTCCATGTCTAGGTGATTGTTTTAAACCATATAATGACTTATTTACCAAACAAACATGATTCATTTTGTTTTTATCAACAAAATCTTCACGTTGTTTCATATAAATTTTTTCATTTAATTCGCTATGTAAAAAAACTGTTTTAACATGTAATTGTTTAGCTCTCAATCATAAAATGCAACTAGAGCTAACATGACTCTAACAGTGATAAATTTGACAACAGAGACAAAAATTTCATTATAATCTATTCCTTCATTTTGGGTAAAACTCTTAGCTACTAATCTTACCTTAAACCTAATTCCAATATTTTCTTGTTTAACTTTATAAATCCATTTACATTATAAAATAGAACAATTATGATTTTAGAGATCAAACACCAAGTTTTATTATCATATAATGAATCAATTTCCTCTTTTATTACTTTTAACCACTGATTTTTATTTTTAAAATTCATGGTCTTCCTAAATGTCTTAAGTTCATTACCATATACATTATCAAATACACTAAAAGCCAAAGAAGACAAATCAAAATCACTAAACCTATAAGGCAACCTAGGGGCTCTTCTATCCATATTTCTAGTTAATTGGTAATTTTTTAACTCATTTTTACTACCATTATCAAAATCAGATTCATTTTCAACTTTAGAAATACTATTATCAATTTCCGAAATATTTTCCTCTCTCACATCAGATTCCACACGAATTCAACATTATTTTCAATATTTTCAGCATCTCCTATAGTAACAACATTATACTCCACCTTATTTGAAATATTACTAGAGTCTAAATTTTCAATATTAATTTCAGATTTATTAAAAACAGATTTTTCAGTATGTAAATAGGGCATCTCATTTTCATTGAAAACAACATCTCTACTAATAACAGTTTAAAACTAGGCCTAGATCTTAACCAGAATCTATAACCCTTAACTCCCTTCGGATAACCCAAGAAAATACAATTTTCAGATCTAGGGTCTAACTTGTTATTATTAACACGTATAAAAGCAAAACACCCAAATGCCCGAATATTCTAAATATCAATTTTCCTACTAGTACACCTAAATTCAGGACAAGCATCATTCAAGGGAATTGAGGGTGATCTATTGGCTATATAAGTTGTTGTTATAATAACTTCCCCCCAGAATTTTTTAGACAAGCTGTATGAAGCCAAAAGGCTTCGAATCCTCTCCAAGAGAGTCCAGTTTATCCTCCTAGCCACCTGATTCTCCTGGGGTTTCTGGGGTATGTAGGGGACAGTCCTATGTCTATTTATACCACTTTTTTGACAAAAATCATCAAACCATGAGTTACAAAATTCTAAACCATTATCAGTTCTTAGATATTTAATTTTCTTTCATATTTGATTTTTAACTTTAATTTTCCAATTTTTGAAAATCTCAAACACATCAGATTT